CACTTTTGTACCTCCTTTCCGAAGTTGAAAACCCCTCCCCGAGCCCTCCAGTAAAGTACTAAGAGGGTTCAAAGAGAGGCAGAACCAGATTGGACTCAGACAATCGCCCTGGAATACATCCCTTTTTATCCTTATGTGGCTTTCCGCAGCCATCATCCTCGCCCAGATGACAATGAATCGTACTCCACTGCCCCATACATTGCTCGAGGAAGTCTCTAACTGTACAGTCTATCTTGTACAGCTCGAGGACTCTCTTTAGCCATATATGGGGCATCGAGTCGAATGTCTTTCTGTAGTCTATCCAGGCGGCGGAGAAGTTTGGTTCCACGACCACCACCCTGACATCCATTTTGAGCGCGCGAAATCATCTGATTTGAGTCCAGGTGACGAGTAATTCTCGCGCTCAAAATGGATGGTAGTGTTTTGTATATGGTCGGTAGACACGTGATGGGGCGGTATTTGCTCGGGTCTGTGGTATCCTGTTCTTTAGGAACCAAATGAGTAATCCCAGTAGTTAAGAGGCTCGGGAGCGACTTCTGGTTGAGAGCCTCTTAGAACTGTCGGGCGAGCACATTGTGACATACCACAAACCCCTTCAGCCAGTAGTGATGCAGCCCGTCGAGTCCCGGACTTTTCCAGTTCGGGGTCCTACGGACCGCCTCAGCTACGTCATCCGGCGTTATAATGACTGGGTTCATGGGCGTTATACTCGCACACTGACTCGCCACAACTTCCGTCCAAGAGCCCTCGCTGTGGTTTATGGGCTCTGACCATAGGCCGCGCCGGAATGTTACAGTGTCGGCCCGATTCGGTGCTGGGCCCGTTCCACTTGCCATCGGTCGCTCCAATGATTCATAGAGCCTCTTCTGATCACTCTGGAATAGACGATTTTGGTTGAACCTAGTCTACCTCTTGGTATATCGCCGAATCCGCTTTCCCCAAGTAGCGATTCTCTGCTTCAGATCATCTATGCGCTTCGTCAGTTTTTTATTATATCTGGCTGGGACAAATGCCATCCTGACGGTGCGCACAATTCTTGGCCTGTTATTGCCTGATCTGAAGCATATCAGTCTGCCAATGAGAGCCTCTAGCCTTTGCGATACGCTCCTCAATTCTTTTTCTCTATGCTGGGATAACGCTACTTTGGCTAGTAGCGCGTCCAGCCGTGGAAACCTTGGCGCCTATGATACGCCAGACTGCCAGCGCGACGCCAAAAAGTATTGAGTCCGTATCGCAAAGGTCCCCGCTGTCTTAATGTTACATTATCATTTGAATCAGCCACCACTGGTGTATTCACGGCGGTATCCACGTGTGCGGGTTATTCTGCAACTTGTGGCACCGCGTCCTCAGCCGTAGCATTTTCATTTGATGAGGGAACAGCCTCACGTCGTAGCCGTTCGAGTTCAGCGTCATCAAATATATTTGAGCGCAAGATATACCGAACTCGGTTTGCCAGGTTTTGCTCGGTGACGGTTACAGATGGATCCAGCTCAGCAAAAATCGATGCATCCTTGCCCGATACGCAAAACCTCCAATTTCTCCCCCTATCGCCCTATAATACGCCCGCAATGCGTTGCTATTCATTGAGATTGTCCAACGCATGCGGCGTATTCCACCAGTGGCGGGTGCCCATTGCTGGGCCCGCGAAAAGCCTGCCGTCACCAAGCCTGCTGGTGGGGATGATAGATGCGAAGGGCTACTAGATGGTCGAGCAGCACCTCGCGCTCGGCTGGCGGTTCGCATGCTGTCACGTCCAGCGCTAGCTCAAGACGCGCCCCGGCGACCCCCAGACAGCGGCCCTTTGCGCGTTCTATCAAATTCCATCATCCATTTTAATGGGCGTCATTCAACGGGAGACGCCCAGACCCGGCGCCGTTTCATGGTGAGGCCATGTGCACAAGTGGGCCTTTGCACCTTCAACTTATGCCGAGGCACGGCACTAACACCTCTTGGCAAGGTGCTGACTGACTGCGCTCACGTAGTGGTTTTGTCACGTAACCGTTACGTCAGCGGGCGATGGGGTCATCACTTCCCTACGCCTAATAATAATTATTATTATATGCATATCAAAGAGTATAAAAATGTGTATACTTTTTTGTTATTGTGAAAAGTGACCAAAGGTACGACAGGGCAAACGATCAAGTGAACTGTATTAGCGTGGTTTAAAAGGAACTAAAACAAAATGGCCAACGTGGCACGTGGCTGATTTTGGACAACATACTTGCTTTGAAATTAATTTGAGGCATTGGCTGACACGACGAGAGATGAGCTGCTGCGAATAAAGGAACAACAAATAAAAAAGGTTTTAATAAGAACGTGCATTTACCTGGGGGAACGACGAACAGCCTCTCTCTTGACGGCTATGCGAGCACGAAGAAATTGCATTGCAATGACGATGGCGGTGCGCGTCTTTTTGTAGCTTCCGCCATCTTCCGGTTTTATTAGCCTCGCGCCTCTTATTGGATGACCAAAGAGGCGTCCACAAGTATCTAGCCTCCCCCTACTAGGCAAGCCCGTGCGTGGAAGGAACGGAAGAGAAGAGGGTTATGTCTTCCAACCTAATTAACAAATACATAAACGATGTGTGTTGTAAGTGTACTTGTTAAATAAATAAATAAGTATAATACGGTACTTATAACAAAAATAAAATATTTTAAAATTTTTATTTGTCAGTTTGTTCCTAATTTCTGAAATGAATTGACATATTTTGATGGGACTTTCAGTGTGAGATAGCTGATGTTATAAAGAATAACTTAGGCTACTTTTGTTTTATAAAAACATTAGAGTACCGCGCTTTAAAATTAAAACCGATGAAATTCTGTAACTGTAATAGGCTTAACGCGGATGAAATCACGGGGACAAACTATAGTCAACCAAATCTAAGAAATACATTTTGACATCTGTCAGACTTATTGCCGAGAAACGAAAAAAAAAAAATAAAACAAAAAAAAACCCCCCAAATTAAAAAAAAAAGGAAAAATTTTTCAAAAATTTTACCAAAGTTAAAAAAAAAAAAAATAAAAACCAAAAAACCCAATTTTTTTTTATAAAAAAAAAAAAAAAAAAAAAAAAAAAAAAAAAAAACCCAAACCAAGTATACCAACCAAAAAATGGGAACGTACAATATTCGACTCTTAAAAAATTTTATTAAAAAGATTATTTAGAGTTGGTAATCATTTACAGTTTGGTATGAATAATACCAGAATAAATTAAAAACGGGTAATTTAAAACACAAGATTTATCAGTTTCTTCGTATTTACTGTTTCTGCTTATTTCTAGAGGCACAGTTATAAAAATATAAGATTGAAACTAGATTAAAATAAATTTATTTAATCAATTTCGGTACAACTAGTAGAGTAGTCGTTGTTTATATTAATTATTATTTGAATTTCAATAATAAAGTACAAATTGATGTCTCTTTCACTCCTCTGTCATCCATAATCAACTTATTTTGTTTTTTCTACCACTTTTGCCCAATCACCCTTTGTGACATGGGCACATGCTTCAATGAAAATATTTTTTATAGTATTGGAAGATAAACTAGCACACAGCCCGCAGTGGTAAGTGGATGCTATGGCCCATAGACAAACACATTTATCCTCAATATAAAATTAAGATGCAAATGCGTAGTCACCCCCGAGGATTAAAATGGAATGCCTCGATTCCAGTAAAAAGCGTCTCCGGTTCTCTACACTCACCATACGAAACACAGCAGCATTACGCTGGTATTCTGTGAGAGCGTGGTCCTGCTGCGGTTGAGCCGACTCATTCGTGCTACAACTATAATAAAGATGTAGCGTGGCTCTACCACGTACAAAAAGTTATTATAGAAGAAAGAGTCCAAAAAGTTAAAGCCGAGTCACAAAATAAGAAGGCAAACACAAAATTACAAAATTACGCACCGTAAGCTGTCGAAACAAAAACAGACACTTTTTTATTCATTATAGATTATGAATAATATTTATTGAAAGTCACTTTTTTCTTTTACCACTGATTCGCAAAAAAATCTCTGTCCTGGGAAGAACTAGCAAGAAACTCAACGGGACTAGTTTCTTTTTTTAAAATAAGAGCTTACAATCATGCGTGTTATGATTGACAACACAAAACAAATTAGAAATAGCCTGGTAGCGATCACCCTTCCCAGTGTTTATTATCATCCATAAATTCCTCAATATTAAAATATCCCTTTTTATACAAACTTAGTTTAATAAAGTTTTTAAACTTTGTGTACTTACGTCAAATTTTGTATATCGTACCTTGAGAAGAACAAAAGCATAAGTGGTCTTATGTCGATTTGTTTGTTTTTACACCATCAAAAAGACCATCGCAAATTACATACGCTCAATTTTTTTTAAATTTTTCTTATTAGTATTAAGGAATTATTAATGAAATTTGTAATCTGTGCATTTTTGCCTTTGGAAAAAATAATACGACTAAAAAAGTCGTTTTATGGATTACGCAGAAAATAAATAAATAACATACACGTAAATAGCTGAACAACTTTTTAAACCTGAAGAAATATAATTATTAATTTCATTAAACACTAGAAAGTCCTTTTTGTCGCAAATTTTAAATGTTGTTATTCGTGTAAACATTTTAACATAAATTTTTCTTGTTCAAAATTATTGTTCCACACAAATTATCGCGATTACCACTAAATAAGTTACATACTTATTTACAAATAAAAGCTGTTTGATTGATTAAGCAATGTGATTGTCTTAATTTTAAGTGTAATGTCGATTACGGCTTTGTTCCCCTAAAAATATAAATGTGGTATTCACGTAAGTTTGCATACTTAAGAATTGTTTGAAATGATTCCGAGCTAAGCGCGAATACGTGCGTGAGTGCGGTGAGCGGGGCGGGTGTCGTATCGTTAACCGCGAATATCCTAAAATAGTTCAATATGCCAAGAGCAGCGCGTGAGTGTTGTTATGGTGCTTTGAAAATTAGATTGATTAAAGTTTCTTGTGTTAAATACACAATAATTATATTATACAACAATGTACAATAACAGATCTAAAAATATTATGGACATGCTTGGTAAGTACAAACAGTAGTTGTCATTACTTTTACGAGTAGATAACTAAAGGTAGGTATTTTGTTTCTTATTTTATGTAATTGTTTTTTTTTTTACTTTTTCTAACAGACTTTATAAACCTTTGTTTTGAGTAGTCTGCGATTGTGAATGAGAATGTGTTTTATCTTAGGTAATTATTATTATCTAGCAGATTGAAATAAGTATGTGCCGTTATTTAGTTAGATAATTTAAATACGTTTTTTACCACCATTTCGAGTGTTATTCCTTTCATCCAAATTTGCTTAGCTGTATAAGCGTAAGTAAAATAGAAAGAAACTAACAGGACGTTACTATTAAGAGCCCTGATAGCTCAGAGGTTTGCGCTCACTGTAAATTTCACAGTGCGCGAGCAAACCGGGTTCGATCCCCACCGGCAGCAATGAAATTGTTAATTGCAATTTTAAGTGCTAATTTACCACGTGCTCGGCGGTGAAGGATAACATCGTAAGGAAACCTGCATGTCAGAGAAATAAAAAAAATATTTCAAAGACATGTGGAGTTTGCCAACACGCATTGAGGTAGCGCGACGGACACTTCCTTGCCCTAAAATCCCCCCAGAGAAGAGAGGGGAGGCCTATGCCCAGGAGTGGGACGTATTTTAAGAAAATATCACATTTATTATATGAGTAGGATTTGGGATAGGTTACTGATTTGTACAAACAACATTGCCTTTATCGTCGCATTGCATTGTTTGCTCTTGAATGGGCAATGATGAAATGTTTACTCGTAATCTTCTTCTAAATTGACCTAGATTGATGATATTAATATCTGTTGCAGAAAAACCTAGCAAAAAGAAGACTTTAAAAAATGATTATGAAAATCCTGTACCATCAACAAGTCGTGAATCTCGAAATAAAGCCATGGTAGTCTACACGGAGAATAATTCAAGTGATATGGAAGAACCTTATTCTCCAGTTGTATCAGAATATTTACCAAGAAATCACACAAGTCGTTCCTCAAGTCTAGTAAGAGAATTATGTTCTCCTTTGTCTTCGTCGTTGATTCATGATATGATAAATAGTCCTCAGAATGATTCAGAAAGTACCTTTAAATTTGATACCCCTTTAAAAATGCATAATGTTGTAGATTTCATTGCATCCCCTTTAATTATCTACACAAATATGAGCATTATTGACAATTCTAAGGAATTGGCTGATGATAGTGATATAACATCCCAAGATAATTATTATAATACAATCGAAGGAGTTAAACCATTATCACCCTCAATAGATATTTCGTCATCTTCTATTAAAGAAAATTCTCTCAATTTGAAGAATTTACCACAAAACGCAGAAATTCCATTATCTTCATCTGTTACAAATACTGATTCAATTGTCACTGATGTTATATGTAATGTTACGGATACAAACCATTTTGATACAGCTGAAGCCACTAAGTCTCAACCTTTGCTAATAAATGAAGGAAATTTTAAGCCTAGGAAAAAGACATCAAATACGAGTGAATGGATATCTGTAAAGAGTAAGAAAAATAAAAATAAAGGTAAGGCTTATGTAAGTAAAAAAACTAAACAACCGTGTGTAACAAAAACTATGAAAGATCCGTTTTCATGTAAAATGAAATGTTTTGAAAAATTTTCTGATGAAGTACTAAAGAAATTTTTTGACTTGTTCTGGCAATTAGGTGACCATGAAAAGCAGTGGTATTTCATTTTAAATAATACTCAATCAACAAATCCAAAGGTTATAAAAGTGGATAGAAAACGAGATCGTACTAATACTTTCATTTACTTTTTTCCTTTGAATAATGACAGTATTTTAAAAACTAAGGTTTGTAAAACAATGTTTATAAATACATTAGGAATTAAAGAACGAGTCGTTTATACTGCCATGAATAAGCTTTCTAATAATGAACAAATTTTAGATTTAACAGGTAAGCATACGAACCGACCTTGTAAAATTCAAGATAATACTTTAGAGAGTGTAGTACAGCATATTAAGTCCTTTCCTTGTATAGAGTCACATTATTTAAGAGGAAAATCTACTAGACAATACTTGTCCGAAAATCTTAACATTTCAAAGATGTATAGGCTCTATAAAGATTGGATGTCTGAAACTGAACATTTTCAAGGTATCAAATTAGCCAGTCAGTATCAATACACTCAGATATTCAATACAAAATTTAATCTTTCTTTTCATCGACCGAAGAAAGACATGTGTCAAATTTGCAGTATATATGATATTGCTGATAACGAAGGTAAGATAAAATTACAGAGTAACTATGACAATCATTTAAAAAATAAATCAACTGTTAGAAAAAATAAAGGATCAGGAAAAGTATATATCAGATCCAAGTATTAAAAAAGTTACAGTTTTTGATTTAGAAAAAGTTCAAAACGTTCCTCAATCTAATGTGGGAGTTTTCCATTATAAAAGAAAATACCCTGTGTATAATTTCACGGTTTTGATTCATTAGCACGGCAAGGTCATTGTTACGTATGGCATGCGCAAATTGCAAAGAGAGGTGCAAATGAAATTGCAAGTTGCTTATATCACTTTATAGAAAAAGAAGCCAAATGGGGTATAAAACAGATTTCTTTCTATTCTGATAATTGTTCAGGTCAAAACCGTAATAGATTTATTTTTTTATGTACATGTACGCTTCACAAAAATTTAACATAGAAATTGTGCACCGGTTTTTGCAAACAGGCCATACGCAGAGTGAAGGTTATGTTATGCATTCCTCAATTGAAAAAAATATGAAACATAGAATTATTTATACGCCTGATCAAGTGTACGAAGTTATAACTAATTCTAGGGTGCACAATAAGTTTATAATGAACAAAGTCAGTCAATCTAACATTTACGATTTTAAATCTATATCAACAGTAAATAGAAAATGGGCATATGACGTAGATGGAAGAAAAATTTTGTTGTTACACTTCAAAGAAATGAAAGCAGATCCTAATTTATCTGGAAAATTGCTCTATAAATGTGAATTTGAACAAGAGAATTACTACGTGCTGGACATTTGTAATCGTTCCTCGTCACGTAAACGTAAATGGAATGGAACACCAGCAGATGTTGAGCTTAAACCCGCGTATAATGGTCCGTTACCTATCTCAAAAGCTCTACATAAAGATTTGAATAGTTTGTGTGAATGAAATGCTATACCGGCTTATTACCAAAGTTTCTTTAAAAACCTAACCGCTGAAAATGACATACCGCAAGACACTTCCGATGAGGATTAAGATTCTTTTGTAATCTTAACTAATTAGTTTTTTCAAAAGGTTGTATTTTGGTTATCCACGTTAGAAGCTGCTTTTCAGTTTTATACGTAAAGTTTTTACTTTTTATAAGCTGTTTTCATGTTAGCAGTGCCTAAATTATTGTATGACATATTTATTAAATTTTATAGGTTTTAATTTTGTTATGCACGTCAGATGTAGTTTTTAGTTTTTATAAGAATAAGTTGTTAACACGAGGAAAATTCCTAAATATTTATGTAGTACAATTAATAAATATTTTTAAATTCTATGATCTCATTTCATACTTAAGATAACGTTAATGTTTTTATTTAATTTTAGGTAAAAGATTTTTTATTACTATTTTTAATAAAAGTTAAGTATATATTGCCAATTAAAATGGCAGCATGGTCTGGTATTTATTATAATAAAAATTATTTGATTTAAAAAAATATGCTTTTTATTATTTTATTTAATATTTAACCTATTTTTTCATAACTAAGTATACTTCCGTCATTAGAAGATATTATCTAGAGAGAAAAAATGTTAATGTTTTAACCATATGTACTTCTCATATTTTTCAAATAGAAAAAAGGCATAAATAGTACTTATTTTTATTATTCAAAAAATTAGTTTGGTGAAAAAAAGCATGATATTACTTCCTTTTCAGACTGATTCCATTCTATGGTGATGTATTCACGAATATTTTTTCTAAAATTATTAATTTTCTAAAGAACATTGGTGCATCTATTCATACATTTCTCTTGTAAAAAAAGAGGCCAATAAAGAGTAACGTAATTTAAATAAAAGGTAATAACTAATTAAATATTAACTTCTACTTTTAGCTTGTACAATTAATGAAAAGAGTATTTTTTGACGCAATTTTTCAATAAGGTGTAACTGTCAGATTTTTTAATTAAAAGATATTAAGAAATAACTAGTTTTTTTGCTCTTCTGTAAAATGTACTTTTTACACTTATGCTTTTGTTCTTCTCAATGTACGATATTTTCTGGGATTTTGTTGTTAAAGCGTATACATCGCCCCAAGAATGAATTACTCGACGTAACTGGTACCGAAATGGCGGGATATTGAGGTTATGTAGTGGTTTTATCACAGCCTTATATATGAATTTTTTTCTACACAAATTTACTTTGACAAAATAAAAAAATAAACTTGTTTCATTCATGATTCATGTAATTTAAGGAATTTTGAAAATAAAAATTAAATTAAACAAATAATACATTAAAAAAAATAATGATTCAATTATTTGAATATTTTGCCGACACTACGGTAATATACATAGCGACATATCATTGAAACGACGTTAAGTAAAAAAAGCTTATACTGGTTATATTTTAATTTTTTGCTTTGTTTGAAAAATTCAAATTAAAATTAGTGATAAGAAACAATACACGTTGTAATGAAATATAGATAACTTCATAATTCTTCGGATTTACGTAAAAGGTTAGTTTAAATCGTGTTAGTACGCTTGTGCAAAGTTGTTGCGGAATGATTAATGTGAAACGTCAAAAGGTATTTCTTAGATTTGGTTGACTATAGTAGAGAATATAACAATAGAATACAATTAAAAAAAAGTAAAGCTGCTGTTGTCAACGCCTCCAAGCATAAAAACTATGGAAAATATTCCTCCTAGGAGGAAATTTATGGTGGAGACCTATGTTCAGCAGTGGGCTTTTGATAGGCTGTAATGGTAACAGAATATGTTTATTATGGCGGGATTAGATGCGGGTATCTTTATATCTTGAGAAATACGTATAAATAGATAATTAAGTATATAAATAAATAAAAATAAAGCATATAAATAGACATTTAAAATAAGTAAAGGTTACGTTCAAAAGCTGTAACGTACCTTTGTCCATTGTAAATCATAAAAAGAAGAACTTAAAGTTATCTTTCTACATTTGTTGTACCTAACTCATAGTTGCATAATGTTTGTTGTAACTCTAATAAAACATTATATGACGTAAGATTCATTACGTTTTTGTAAATAAATTAAAATTTACAAAAATGTAACGAATTTTGAAGTTAGTTATTATAACTAGGTCAAGATGATCGCAAGCTTCAGCAAAAGCGTGCTTAAGCTTTCACGTTCGCATCTTAAGTTACTTTATTTAAGAAAGCGACTGTACGCAGCCAAGTATCACAAAGCCGATCATATACACGTAAGGTCCTTAATAACTACAATGTTTAATTACGTAATGATTCGTAAGTTTTATTTTTCTTATGATACTCGTAAATATCAGTTTATTTCTTATCTTGTCTTATAATATAACTACTAAATTTATTACTCTGTAGTAAATTGTCTCTAATTGCAATACATTTGGAAAAATTAATTCTACCTTAGTACCACTGGCTTTCTATTAAATGTAGTGAACCGGAGGCCCTTTTTAATGGTATGGAGGCATTCCGTCTTAATTCTTAAACAAACAACACACACAACAAAATTCTTTAGCCAAATAGTAATTTATAGAATTTTGTCTGGCTATCTGTCAGTGTATTTCCGTTTCAAAATCTATGAAACATGTGAACGTTAACCACTGCGGGCAAAATACGGTTGAAGTAACTAGGTAAGTGTAAAAGAGAGGAATAAGTTTCTACCAAAAAATGAATAAGAGAGGAGCCTGTTAGTTGAATGTGTTGGTTGTCTACCGTAATGTGGTTGACCACAATATAATCATGCCGATTATATTGTGGTCAACCACATTTTATAATATCAAGATACTATGTAGATAGTGAAAGATGAAGTGCATTCAGATAAATAAATTCAAGGGGAATATTCGCGTATGCATTGTTTAAATAATTAAAGAGAGCATTACGATATATATTTTTTCTTTTTATATTTTATTAAGATTATAATGTAATAAATAACTGTTCATAGGTTTATGTTCAATTTCTACCGTTCCTGTACTCTGATATTAAATTGATGTGAGAAATGCCATGATCACGATGAAACCCAAATGCAACACGAGCGTGAAAAATATATTTTAATAAGTCAATTTTAATTTTAGAATTTTTTACATACATAATTTAGAATTAGATAAAAAATTCAAATCAGAGTTGAGGGTTAATTATATTATTTAAAATCACAAATTAGATTTAAGTATCTTCTGGGAAAGTAAACAGGAAAGTGAGCAGGAAAATTGACTAAAAGTAAATGCAAGCCTCTCGCGTTGCTCAACGCTACCGAAGTTGGTGGTTTTTCGTGTCGAAATCAAAGGATTGGAGCGAGTGACAATTTATATTTTAATCACTACAGTTTATATTTTACATTGTATTTTAATTATTTACACGTCATAATGTTTTTACGTTGTTATATACTACATAATGTTTTTAACTGTGATGAAATGATAAGTATTTTATATGTAGTGGAGTCATGCTTCAGATATTTTATGGTTGTAGCGGGAATGGGTTCGCTCGACCGGGGAAGGTCCACGCTCTCACAGAACACCAGCGTAAAATAACAGCTTAATAATGCTCTGTTTCTTATGGTGAGTATAGAGATCCGGAGACACTTTTTTACTAGAAACGAGGTATTCCATCTTAGTCCTCAGGGGCGACAACGCATCTGCGTTTTGATTCTTAATCGAGGATAAATGTAGATGTCTATAGGCCACAGCATCCACTTACCATCAGGTGGACTGTGTGCTCGTTTGTCATCCTTATTCTATATTAAAAAAAATAGAGTAATAAAGTTAGCGAGGTTCCCTGTTTCCGCTAAGTATGTTATGATTTTATTTTAAAGCCTGTTTTTGACTTCTCGCATTTAATTAGAAAGAACATTGCACATGCTGACATTTTTATAATAAACGAAGTGTAAAGGAAATAATAAATACTAAAAACGTTTAGTTTAGTTTGCTCATCATCATTACATCCCTTCACAAGTCCACTGTTGAACATATGCCTCTTGTAACAAAAATCCTTATCAGAGTCAGCATTCCATCGTTTAGATATAACTTCAATTCAGAAAACTCGATCTTAAAACAATAAAATAAAATTTAAATTAAACTCAAAAACAAAAGTCAAGTCTACGTCTAAGTCTACTTAATACACAACCATCTTAAGATTTTTTTGTCGCCATTAGATTTTCGCGCCGATGTAATTGTACCTTTAAGCAAATGGTCCCTTTAAAGTTCTTCATCCCTTCAATTCTAAGGCCAGCAATGCCCCTTCAAGTCTCCTGGTGTTGCGGATGGTCATAGTTGGCGCTGGTGCATACAATAAGATAAACGGCATGAACATTGCGTTTTAGTGTGTTATAGAGAGAAAATACGGCCTTCCATCCAAAAATACCCTTCAGCCTGTATTAATACCGAATACATCATTACTTGGCCGCGGAAAAGGTAATACTTACTAAAACGAATTCGTAGGATAAAAGGAATTCGTAGGATATAATGCTTAACATTTAACTTTACATCCTAGCCAAAAGCTAAGCTATCCAAAGAATAATTTCTAGGTCGCTGAGTTTGACTCTGAGTCGAGTCTCTCTTTTTGTGATTTCAAATAAGAAAACCGTAATCAAATTTTAAGAAAAAAGTTGGTTAAGGTGCCAAAATTAAACAATTTAGGTTTGTACCCAAAATAAACCTTTAAGTAAAATCTGCTTTCTTTGATAATTAAAGTATGTTTCCGCAAGAACCTGTTCATTTACATATACTCTTTGTGAGCTATGAAACCAGGACTATCACAAAAATCTTGATATACCTGAAAATGTGAAAGCTATTTTTTAAATGACAAAGTGATTTATAACTCTCCTTAAAGGTAAAAAAATAACGTAGCAGCTAATATACGTCTCACTACTGTGCACAGGGCTCCTCATTTACGTATAGTGTGGGCAGAAAAATAGAGTATGCCGTAATGTTTCAACGCTTATTAACGGTTTACACATTTACATGACTAT